TACAAACATGATTGGTACAATTTTGAAGATCTTATTCGAAAATATCACCAAATTTCCAAAATCCGCCCATATGTTTATGATAAGCGTTAAAAATAACAACAAAAAAGAACAAATATATGACTATGTAAGGATAAAAATAGACAAATAGGATCAAATTAATATATAGAATATTGACTGCTGCACTTCACCATTGATGCATTAAAAATTACTAATAAATCTTAGAGTAATAATGGCGCCAATAGTAAATGCTACCAAAAATATACAACCGCTAATGGATACTCCAATAATTAAGCCAAGATTAGTGTCTACGTTCGGAGTATCTGAAGGAATAAAGTTAGAATTAATATTAATTTTTAAAGTTGGTTTGGTTAAAGTGATAAAGTGCCGAAAATCAAAGTCAATGAATCAAAGACTGAATAAAAATTAAATAGACAGAGTTTATATTATATTGTTATACAACTTTTGTATATATGTCATCTTGGTTTTTTTTTTTTTTTACTGGACCAAACTTGTATCTGTTCTCATAAATTCGAGGATAACGTTGTCTCTGAATCGAAGTTTCAAATACAGTATAACGACACGGCTCCCGAGTAGATGATTTTATAACAAGATTTCAGAAAAAAACAAGTTTTTAGTTTGTCAGAATTTATGAGAACAAACTTTCAAGAATAAATATGCATCAGATGCAGATATCGATATAAATTTATTTGTCAAAACTGCACTGATAAACATTTAATTTTTTTAGGATCAGTGCTTGCTTTTTACTCTTGATGAAATCATAAAGAGTTTTCGGCATATTAAAACTGTTCTAATGTAAACTAAGAATTTGTCATTTCCTGAGATCCTTCGAGTTCATTTAGGAATTTCTAACTCTTCGGAAATCATGTTTCTGTCTTCAAATTTTCTCTGCATATAGTAAATTCCCGAAGAGTTGGAATAATTTTGAACGAAATCGAAGATATTTCAAGAACAAAGAAATTTGGTTGTCTAGACTTATGTGAACTTCGAAATACTTACTATAGAAAGTCTTAGGTGAAGACGAAGGTGAA